TAATTGAGGAAGTAATATAAAGTACAAGTTTTAAAGTGAGTGCCTTAAAACTTGATGGGTTGGCCAGCATTACAGCACGGTGGGTTAAGCCACTGTTTGTGGCACTGACAAACTTTATCAAGTGCTGGTTCAAGTGCCGGCTACTCTGCTTCTTCTCCAGCTTCCCGCTGATGTGCCTGGGAAGGCAATGGAGGATGACCCGAGTAACTGAGTCCCAGTCACTCACCTGAGAACTGAGGAGGGCCTAGCTCCTGGCTTTGGCCTGGCCCGATCCTAATTGTTGTGGCCATTTGGGGAGGAAACCAACAGATGGAAGAGCTCTTGTTCCCCATTCCTGCCTAATTGTTTTGTTTTCCAAATAAGTAAGTAATACATCTTTTACAAATGTTCTGGGTAGCTATGAGATGACGAAAAATGGGATCTCTACCTTTGAAACCGTGAAAGAAAAAGCAGAGTAGAAAAAATACCGTCAATCCAACTAAAGCAAAAAAAAAAAAAAAACCAGGAAATCTAGAAACATAGTAAGTAAAAATGGGCAAAAACTGAACATAGTTTTTATTTGTTCAGTCAGGAAAAGGAACACAAAACATCCTGATGCAAGAAGAAAGAAGGAGTTAATAAGGCAGAAATGAATGAAAACCATGATCAAGTACACAAAATTTAATGCTTTAAAAAAAGATCAATAAAACAAAGTCTGGCACAGAAGACAAAAAACAAAACAAAACAAACAAACAAAAAAACAACAAAAACCCAGAAAGTTAACATTAACAATGAAAACTAAAGGGACAATATTAGTGTGTGCATATATACACATACATATATATAGTCTGCATATTTATGTATATATAATTGTAAGCAAATATCACATTTATGCCATTCTTTTAATATCAATTTTTCCATCGATAACATATAGAATGAAACAAAGCCTCTTTAGTGTATAGCTCAGTGATTTTGACAAATATACAATGCTTATAAACACCACCACCACAAGCAGAGTGTAGAATATTTTTGTCAGTCCTGATGATTGTCATCAGTCTCCTTCTGCTACCTTCTGGTCTTAGGTAATAGCCGATTTCTTTAACTACAGTTTTGCTTCTTAAGTTTGCTTCTCAAAAATTATTTAACTGAATTGAATAATATAATATACACACTTTTCTGAGTACCTTCTTTTACTATATAAGCTCATGAAATTCAGGGGGCAAACATGCCAGGTAAAACTGTCAGCTGCAGCATCAGCGTCCTATGTGATTGCCAAGTGCTCCACTTCTTTAAAGATGTATATATGTGTGTACGTATTTTTATCAAGAAAGGCAGATCTACAGAAAGAAAGGGAGACAGAGAGAGATTTTTCATCTGCTGGTTCACTCCCCAACTGGACATAATGGCTTGAGTTTAGCCATTCCAAAGCAAGGAGCCTCTTCTGGATCTCCTACATTGGTGCAGGGACCCAAGGCTTTGGGCCATCTTCTACTGCTTTCCCAGGCCACAAGCAAGGAGCTGGATGGGAAACGGAGCAGTTGGGAGAAAAAACTGGTACATGTATGGGATCCCAACACTTAAAGAAGGAGGATTAGCTAATTGAGCCACTAGCCAGGACCCTGCTTCATTTCTGATCCAGCTTCCTGCTCATGTGCCAGGGGAAGGAAGCAGAGGATGGCTCAAGTACTTGGGCCCCTGTCATTCATGTGGGAGACCAGAAAGGAAATCCTGGTTCCTGGCTTTGGATTAGCCCAGCCCCAGCCATAGAGGATCAAGACCATTTGGGGTGTGAACCAGCAGATAGAAAATGTCTCTCTCCCTCCCCCCTCTCTCTTTTCCTCTCTCTCTCTATAACTCAACTTTTCAAGTAAATATATAAATCTTTTTAAACTTTCCAAAATTCACCCACATTCCTCTTCATTTTTAATAATTCAATGTATACCGGATTATCATTCCACCTGTTGTTGAAGTTCTTAAGAATGGAACTTCTCTAAAGATTCGTCTACAAGATTGTGCAGGTATATATTTTCATTTGTCCCAGAAGGTTCTGGATCTCATGATCAGTATATGAATTTGTCAAGCATTGTTCTACCAATGCATGAGAGTTCTAGGGCTCCAGTTGCTTTATCTTCTGATCCAGTTTTCCCCCAACTTACTTGAATGGCATTTTTAGGAAATTTCTAGGAAAGTATAAATTACAAAAAAAAAAAAAAAAAGGCAGAGGAAAACCACAAAGACTGATAGCCATACAACACACTGAGGTGGCAGTTAAAGATCAACCACAACACCTTCTCTGAAACCATACCAGGATCAGAATTCTACTACCAACTGCTTTCAGAGGCAACCGTTTTTTCTGCCAAGGGCCACTCAGATATTTATAACATTCATAGCCTATACAAAGTGATAAACTTAAACATTAGACAGGGGCCAGCAAAATAGCTCAACTGGCTAACCCTCCACCTCCAAGTATTGGCATTCCATATGTGTACCAGTTCATGTCTGGTTGTTCCACTTCCCATTCAGCTTCCTGCTTATGGATTATTGAACAGTGGAGGATGGCCCAAGTCCTTCAGACCCTGCCTCTGAGTGGGAGGCCTGGATTTGGATGGGCTCAGCTTTGGATGGGCTCAGCTCTGGCCATTGCAGGCAGGTGAGGAGTGAACCAGCAGATGAAAGATCTTTGTCTCTGCTTCTCTGTCAATTTTCCTTTCCAATGAAACAAATCTTTTTTTTTTTTTTTAAACTAGTCTGCAATAGCTTGTTGAATCTGAGTACTGCCGTGACAGTACCAGACCACGTGACTAAAGGCATGAGGGTGAGATGTTTTCTATCCTGGTAAGATACTTTTCATCTGTTATTCAATCTGAACACAGAAATGGATAGCAGTTTAATCTATAAGGAGATTACAACTCAGAAACCAATATTTGGTTAGGAAACTGCCACAAAATCTGTAAGTCAGAGATCAGTAAAACCCAGGGAGTGAACATTCTGTACTGAAAATAAGTGACTCCTGTGATCAGGAAGAGTTTAAACTGGGAACAATAGGATGACTCAGCATTCGACATATCCAGCAATGTCATTTACTATTTTTTTTAAAGATTTTTATTTTATTTTTATTGGAAAGGCAGATATACAGAGAGGAGGAATGATCGAGAGGAAGATCTTCCATCTGATGATCCACTCCCCAAGTGGCTGCAACAACCAGTGCTGAGCTGATCTGAAGCCAGGAGCCAGGAACTTCCTCCACGTCTCCCACGCGGGTGCAGGGTCCCAAGGCTTTGGGCCGTCCTCAGACTGCTTTCCCAGGCCACAAGCATGGAGCTGGATGGGAAGTGGGGCTGCTGGGATTAGAACCGGCACCCATATAGGATCCTGGCACGTTCAAGGCAAGGGCTTTAGCCGCTAGGCCACTGCACTGGGTCCAATGTCATTTACTATTACAAAATCCCCAAGGGCAGAAATTCAGATTCAGTTTTGACAGATTCTGGTCCACGTCAGGGTACCTGGTTGCAAGACCACCAGCAGCTCCGAACTCCAGCTGGTGCAGACCCTGGAAGGTAACAGTGAAAGCTCCAGAATTGAGGTCCCTGTCATCCACAGGAGTTCACAGCTGCTGGCAAGCACAGTGTTGCAGACGGGAACTTACAAATAAAGCTAAAAAACTTTTTTTAAGTAAAACATAAGAAACATATTAGCTCAGTTGACCTCAAAAGCACATTACATGCGTGTTCAACTGGCATACCTGGTTTTTTGTTTCATTTTATTTTGCTTGTTTTTGCTTTTTAAATATTTATGGGGTGGTTGTTGTGGCATGGCGGGTAAAGCCACGGCTTGCTATGCCAGTATTCCATCAGTCTGTTGATTTGAGACCCAACTGTCCCATTTCCAATCGAGCTTCTTGCAAATACATCTAGGAAATCAAAGCATGGGACCCTGCACCCACAGGGACGACCTGGATGAAGTTCCTACCTTCCAGCTCCTGTCTGGCCACTATTGTGGCCATTTGGGGAGTGAACCAGCAGATGCAAGATCTCTAACTCTGCCTTTCCAACAAATAAACATATACATATATATATATTAAAATTACATGTCCACATCCACACAAACACTTGGCAAGTTGAACAGAAAAGGACATTTCCTCTGAGAAACATACCTAACACAAAAATGCAAGGGAATCTACCAGCCTGATTTGAACCAATGTTAGTGGCTGGTGTGGTTTAAACACAGAGGAGCGACACTAAAAAACAATACCTTAACTGGGCCCGGAGGCGTGGCCCAGCAGCTAAAGTCCTTGCCTTGAACGCGCCAGGATCCCATATAGGCGCTGGTTCTAATCCCAGAAGCTCCACTTCCCATCCAGCTCCCTGCGTGTGGCCTGGGAAAGCAGTTGAGGACGGGCCAAAGCCTTGGGACCCTGCACCTGTGTGCGAGACGTGGAGGAGGTTCCTGGTTCCCGCCTTCGGATCGGCATAGAATCGGCTGTTGTGCTCACTTCAGGAGTGAACCATCGGATGGAAGATCTTCCTCTCTGTCTCTCCTCCTCTCTGTATATCTGACTTTCCAATAAAAATATATAAATCTTTAAAAAAAAAATACCTTAACTTCAACAAATTCAATTGGAAAATATAAAATAAAAAGCCAAATCTTTCCTAATACTTCATGTGCAAAACTTCCTGAAAGTAAGGACCGTCAATGTTCGGCACAAACCTCGTCCTTTCACAGTTCTATAACATGGAGGCTCCTAACCCTCCTGGGACGCATGTGACGCAATAATATAAAGCCTAGCGCGCCTTGCACCTGGCAGCACCGCCCCGCCCCGCGACCGAACCCAGCCAATGAAAATGCTTGGCACCTCCGCCTCCCCTCCCCCCGCCTGGCCCCAACAGCTCCACGAGGTGTGTTTTTCCCGGTCTCAGGCTGTTTGTGCTCAAATGGGGCCAATGCGGCTGCGCGCCGCGTCCTGATTGGCTGGGCGGTGCGGGGCTGCGTGCGCAAGCGCCGAGCTCGGTTACTTAAGGGCGGGAGCCCGGCGAGGGCGCCGGCGGCTTTTGCAGGCCCAGGTGCGGTCGAGGCCTGAGCTGGCTCGCCATGCCGAACCGCAGGGCCAGCCGTAATGCCTACTACTTCTTCGTACAGGAGAAGATTCCAGAACTGCGCAGGCGAGGTCTGCCTGTGGCCCGAGTGCCAGACGCCATCCCCTACTGCTCGGCCGACTGGGCGGTGAGAGGAGGGCCGAGGGTGCCCGGCAGGCTGGGCAGTTGGGCGAGGCGGGAGGGTCTCCTGGACGCGGCCGGTAGTCCTCGGGTTTCAAGCCCTGGACCCTACCGGGCGGTCCCAGGGGGGCAAACCGACTCCGGAACCACCTGCCCAAGTGCCCCGGCGTGTGGCTCCTTGGCACTGGACGCTGCCCGCTCTCCGCTGCCCCGGCGTGTGGCTCCTTGGCACTGGGCGCTGCCCGCTCTCCGCTGCCCCGGCGTGTGGCTCCGTGGCACTGGGCGCTGGCCGCTCACTGCTGCCTGCCTTCTTTGTCTCACCCTTTTTCGGTCCCCCGAAGCTCCTAAGGGAGGAGGAGAAGGAAAAATACGCAGAGATGGCTCGCGAGTGGAAGGCTGCCCAAGGGAAGGACGCTGGCCCTTTGGAGAAGCAGGTAGAGTGAGCGAGTGGCCGCCTGCCCGGCGTGGCCAGCCCAAGGAGAGAGGACCAGGAACGGCAGAGGACACAAGGCTGGGTGGTTGGGTTCCCCCCTACCCTCTAGTATCAGAATGCTTGTTAAAAGCCAACGAGCTGCATGCGTGGGGCACACGTTGCTGGAGTTTGTTGTGGCAAGGCCTGGGGAATGGCTGTTAGGAAGCACTGGTCAGCAACAGGGGTGTTCCCTGTGTAGGGACCGTCCTGCGGCCCTGGACGTGACCCCTTGGCGACCGCCCACGGGATGCTTGGAGGCGGTTGGGACCAAGGCAGGGGGTGCTCAGGTGATGGAGATGTTGGTCAGTGTTTGTAAAACGCGGAAGGAAGTGCCTGTGGGGTGAATTCTGTGTGGTGGAACGCTGAAGAGCCAGGTAAATCAGAACATCCAAGCTCCAGTGGGTGCTCCCCTCTGGGTGTTTTTCCTTAGCACCATCCAGGCGGTTTGGCAGCTCAGAACTCTTGTTTGAGCTCCATGGGCTGCTTTATTGGTTGGTTGGTTTTCTGTTTGTACTGGAGAAGTCCCAGTTAGTTGAATTTGTACAGGGATTTCTTGTTGTAAGACATTTACCCCTCCCCCAAAACTGTGCTGTTTGTCTGCCTCACGACAGACTTGGCTGCTCTGCTCTGCTTTTTCTGCAAGTGAACAGAGTATTTGAGCACGGTGGGCCGGGTTTACGTGTGCCCACTGGCCGGGCGGCAGGGAGGAGGAGTCGGACAGAAGAGCTGACTCAGTGGCGGGCGGTTGGTTGTGCTGAGAGCGGCCCCGAATGCCCCCCAGCTGCTGCAGAGTAGCACACGTGTGTCCTGTTGGAGGCAGGGGATTCCTGGGCCTCACTGGCCTTGGAGTGCACACGCAGTCATCTCTGGGCTGTTGCCCGGCAGGAGTTTAACACGGAGTCATCTCTTTCCCCTTAGAAAGCGAATGTTTCCGTGCCACTGAGGCGGCCGGGCATGCTCGTCCCGAGGCAGACCGTCTCACCCCCTGATATGTCAAGTTTGTCTCTGAAAAGTGATCAAGGTATGGTGATTCTGGAACATTTTGCTAAGACTCAGTGTTCTATTGCTCAAGAGAAATGGTTTTTGTTCATTTTGATTCCCGATTTCAGAGTAATTGACTGCACTTTTTAAATACTGCAGCACTGAAATTGTAAAGAACCAGGTAATTTGCCTCTGCTGAAATTAATGATTTTTTTGACAAAAAGAAATCTAAACTCTTGGTTTCTAGCCCTCTATGTTATTAAACGTAAAGAGATTTTTGTTTTTTTTTTTTAAAGATATTTGAGAGGTTTGTTTTTATTGGAAATACAGATTTACTAGGAGAAGAACAGAAAATCTGCCATCCACTGGTTCACTCCCAAAATGGCCACAGTGGCCAGAGCGGAGTGGATCTGAAGCCAGACCAGGAGCTTCTTCCAGCTCTCCATGGGGGTGCAGGGCCCAAGGCTTTGGGCTGTCCTCCATCGCTTTCCTAGGCCACAGGCAGGAGCTGGATGGGATGTGCAGCAACTGGGACATGAATCGGTGCCCATAGGGGATGCTGGTGCTTGGAAATGGATTGTTAGCCAGTTGAGTCAACGCACCAGCCGCAAACATAAATATTTCTTAGACGTGTTACATAACTGTGTACCTAGTTATGAAAATGAGTAGAATGAATGTTGTTTGAAATCTGTTTCACAGCAATGTGAATACGTGTGTTTCAAATGGCTAACAATAGGTTTTAAATGTTCATGCCACAGAAATACTATGTGAAGTGATTAATATGTTAATTAGCTGGGTTTAATAATCTCATATGCAGGTGTCAGAATTGCTTGGCTTCTCATAAATATATGCAGTTATTCTTCAGTTAAGATTTAAAACATTTTCTTAACATATGCGTTATGAAGGTAAATATGAATTATTGAACCAGGCTAGAGCAGGGCATGGCTACTGCAGGCACTTGCTGTTCCTCTGAGCTGCCTTTATTGTGTTCTGACTTTAATCCTAATCAAATCATGCCAGTCTTAAACATAACCAGTACTGGCGTGACTGCTTTACACCTTCTCAGATTTTTTAAAATTTATAGATAGTCCTATTTGTAAGAAGTCTAAAAAAGGAGTATGTTACGTTGCGTTTTGCTTGACTCGTTTCCCAAATCCTGTATTTGTTGAATAGACATCACAGCGTCTCTTCTGCACTTGCTGGGATTGAGGCCTTAGCTAGAGCTCAGCTCTGTGAAGGTAGCTGCAAGTTGGGGTGATTTCTGCTGCCTTGCACAAGGAGTAATTACTAACTTCATACTTGATAAGTAATTATAAGAATGAAGTATTTGGTGCATTTGGTTTACCTTTCTCTTTTCTGGCTCATTCTAGAATATAGCAACACAAAGAAAATGGCTCTGGCACCTTTCCTGCCCTAAACTAATGAGACATTTTGGAAAGAGTAAATTGGAGACACTCACTTTTTCGTTTTTGTCTGTTTTCTTTTTAGCTCTCCTTGGAAGCATTTTTTATTTTTTAAATATTTTTAGCCATGGTGAGCTCCCTCCTCATTGTGAACAGCGCTTCCTCCCTTGTGAAATCGGCTGTATTAAATATTCTCTCCAAGAAGGGATTATGGCAGATTTCCACAGTTTTATAAGTCCGGGTAAGTAGCCAGTTAGGATAGATGCTAAATCTTACAAGGTATTTAAAACAAACAAACAAACAAAAAAACATAATGCATGGCTGAATTCCTAAAATGTAACAATACTTTGTAATATTTTGTTGAAAAATTTCTAGAAATTGGACGTTGACACTAAGGGGTTTTGGCTTATATTTTTAACCTCGCCAGAATACCTTACAAATGCGTGCTTTCTGTCTGCTCATTCGCAGCCACATGTATTAGGATTTTTCTAGACTTTAAGGTTTGCTGTTCTCTCTCTACCCCATCTGTCTCCTCAGTGGTCACTAGCTTTCATTTTAAACTGCCATTGCTTTGTGACCTTGAGGAAGTACAGAACCTCTCTGAGCCTCTTAGCTCGTTTATGAAACAGGAACACTGCCCATTGGAAGGCTCTTCTAGGAAATAATTGAGAAAAATGAGGGGAAGCCTTTTAACAGACCCCCAGCTCACTGCTCCACCTCATTAAAAGCAAGATAATTTGAAAGGCTCAGGTGTGACTTCCATCCAAGGATGGTAGGTAGTGGCTAGGAAACCAGCATGTGCCTAAGGGTAACCGGGAGAAATTCAGCAGGACCTGAACGAAATCATGGGGATAGGAATGGATTTTGAAATGATTTTACTCCAAAATAACTTACCTTTAACTCTGTTTTCCACATAGTTTTTTTTTTTTTTTTTTTTTTTTTTACAGTACCCTTGTGTATGAGGGGTGAATTCGGAGAAAGCATTCCTTTGGTGTTGTTAATTACTTTAAAATTAGGGTATCCCAGTACTTTTTTTCTCATTTTCAGGTGATAGAAATACTAATCATTGTACCCAGATTTGCGAGTGTAGCTGCTTAGGACCAAGTAGCTGCAGTTTTCCCTGTGGATGGTAGAACACAAGCGTTTGGAGGCTGTGGCCGACACATGCAAGTGCATCTTGCTGTATTAAAGACCTCACAGCCCGGTGTGTCCATTTGTCAACTGTAGCAAAGACTCCTTTGGCACTGTATACTTCACCTAGAAATTTTGTTTTCTCTGAATAAACTTATAAAAGTAGTTTGGACAAGTTGTTTTGTACTTAAACTTTGATTTCAAAAAATGTTAGAGTTTATTCTTTTGTACTGTCGCATACTAGAATTGCCCGCCCGTTGCATCCTATGGGGTGTTAACTGGAGCATCACTATAGAACATCCTAGCTTTTGCTTCCATTAAGAAACTGTTTCCTATTACAGGTGAAATTCCACGAGGATTCCGATTTCATTGTCAGGCTGCAAGTAAGTGTCAAGGAATTGGGTAGGATATGAGAATTTAATATATGCGTAGTTGTCCGACTTACTCCTGTAACTTGTAAAACCTAAGCTGGGGAAGGATAATCTTAAGTCATTGTTGGACTTAAGTCATCATAGAAGTTAAAAACAGCGTCTGCAGCTTTAAAAACTGAAATTTTTGTAGACTTGTATGTTATATTTTTGATAATATTTACATAAAGGGATGCAGGCCCATGTTGACCACCAATTAGGATGGGGTCTCGATCGAGGAATGGGGGATAATGGATGAGCCAGCTGCGTGAGCCAGGTGCCTCCAATCTCCTTAAATTATTCTTAGAAATGTGAACACCTAACTTACAGAAATGTTTGAAATTAGAAGTGAGTTTGTCTGCAGTGGTCAGCTATGATTTTAAGAATGTTCTTTAAAAATGAGGTGCTTTTGAACACTTTTGTATTTTGATTTTTTCTTTAGCAGTCCACTTCTACAACTACAATAAAGAAAAATCCTGCTGTTGCTTTGAAGTTTGACTGTGGCTAATCTTCCCAAATACTCCATTTGTCAAGCTTATTAAACTAGATAGTAGTAAAAACCCACAAATAGAAAGTTAGCTGTTGAATTGTCACCTTTTCCCTTCAGCTGTTCCTGGTAATTGTGTTGAACACAGTGCGTTTCCTTTATGTGCCAGATGCTCGTTTGTCAGAGTCACTCACAGCATACTGTTTCTTTGCTATTTTGATTTTCATAAGTTCATCTAAAGGCTATTTTTAAATCTTTTTAAAGGATTGTTTTCTCACATTTCAAATTAACAGATACAGTGTGTGTGAGAGAGCAAGTGAGCTGGAGTTTAAGCCTTATTGAGACTCTAGGTGTATTTTCTTACTGTAGTCTTAATGTGTTATTAAATCTAATTGAAACTAATAGGGTTTCAGAGAAATCTAACATGTTTGGGGCTAAGCCAACCTAAATGTTTAAATTGTCAATAACCTTGGATATGTGCCAATTAGATAAATGCCCGTTAGAGTGACATTGATTTTGACGTAGTAATTAAAAGTGGCCATGTGGATCTAACTAAGCTGATTGATGAGATGCTTGCTTCACTCTAGCACATCAGAGCAGGTCTGTATGTGCATGTGACCAGTGTCAGAGGCAGCTAAGGAATGTACTCAGATCTGAGGCTCCTGGATTGTCTGATTTTTTTTTTTTTTTTAGTGAAGTATATGTAGGTAAATCAGGTGACTGGCCCGTGGGCCTTACATTTTGCACCTTACTATGATGACCAGGGGATTGATAGGGCGTGCCCAGTTGTGTGCCTCTGAAGAGATGCTCTAGGGTTTATTGCTGTCAGGATGGAGGGCTTGGCTCTCCTTCCTGCTTCAGCCAGAGGTGCTCTGCTGTCCATTCTACTGCTCAATGGTTTTCTCTGGAGAAATTCTGCTAAAAGGGGCAAAGCTTTGCAAACTAATTTTAGCTTCCTATACTAAAGATGCATAGATTCTTAGACACACAGGAATGGTACATACTAAACTGGGATATAAAGAGTATGAATGAATGAACAGCAGCCCCAGCGTTCAGCTGAAATACCAATACTGTTGAAGGTCATTGCTGTCACCTGGATTTTCTCTTCATTTGTTCAAGAGAAGTGCTACTTTGAATTTTATGTTTCCTAACTTTTCTGAGTAGTTATATTAAAAATAACCACATAATTATTTAAATGATGTGTTTAGCTTTGCTTGTTTGAGTTTGAAATGGTTATCATATTGAATATTTCTGTATGTGTATTTTTTTAACTTGGTGGGTTTTTACTCATTTTTCTGTTGAGTTGATTTTGTTATTTTTGACAGTGTCATATATATCTTACCTGCTTATTGATTTTTAGAAATTATAGATAGATGCCTACTTTCAGCTTGTACCTTATAGTTTTCACTCTCTGGTGCCTTAATGAACAGATAAATTAATTTATCAAGGGTATGAATTTTTTGTTTTATGTTTTACCTAAAAATCTTATAGCTTTTTGACTCTATTTTCTTCTAAAAATCAGGAAGTCTGAGTTTTGTATTCAGAGTTCCTTATTCACCCAGAATTTAGTTTTGTATGTTCTGAGGCAACAATGCAGCTTGATTTCTACACATGGATAATCCATTGCTTTAGCATCATTGGCTCCATCATCAATTTGTTGTCCCAACAGCTAGTATCACCTGTATCAATATCACTTTACTATTAATGTATTAATCTCTTTGTTCTATTTATTGTGTTTTATTGATCTACTTGGTGTTTTTGTTATTTTTACCTTCAGTGTAGTGCTGTCAATATATTCTTTAACAGTTTTATACAGTTTAGTTAGGCAATTCCTGTGATCTTGTTCTTTTGAAATTTTACAGAAAGTTTTTGTCCTTTGTTCTTTTTTTATTAAAGATTTGTTCTTTAACACTTTGAAAGAGCTACAAAGAGAGAGAAGGAGCAAAGAGAGCTTGCATCTGCTGGTTTACTCCCCAAATGACCACAATGGCCAGAGCTGAGCTGATGCAAAGCTGGGAGCCAGGAGCTTCTCCAGGTCTCCCATGTGGGTACAGGGATCAAAGGCCTTGAACCATCCTCCACTGCTTTCCCAGGCTATTAGCAGGGAACTGGATTGGAATTGGAGCAGCCAGGACTACAACCAGTGCCTGCATGGAATGCCACTGGTGAATGAGGAGGCTTAACATGCTACCCCACCATACCGTTCCACACTGTTTGTTCTTACAGACGCAACGTAGGATGTTTGTGTGTGATTTACAACAAGTTTTGTTGGGATTTTGATGGTAATCACCTTTAAATCTTGATGCATTTGGGGAAAACTTGTTTATTTCTGCTGTTGAGTCTTTGAGTAAACCTAACACTATTTTTACCTTCATACGTCTATTATGTGTTTCAGTAAATTTTTATAACTGTCTTTATAATAATCTTAATGTCTTTTGCTAATTTGTAGGTTTTCTTTGTTGTTGCCACTGTGAGCCATAGCTTGCTTGCTTATTTTTCTGAGCAATAGCTGTATTGCTCACATCTGCTGCTTCATTCATGAAATGCCCACAGCAGCTTATGGTGGGCCAGGCTGAACCTGTGAGCTGAAATCTCAATCCAGGTCTCACGTATAGGCACCTGGGAGCCAAACTGCCCCAATCCAGGGTGCAAGTCAGAAGTAAACCAGGGACGTGAACTGCCCTCTCCACTGTGGGATACAGACGCTTTAGCTACCTACTCTTCCAGTTTTTTAAAGTTGTGGGGCCAGCGTTGTGGCACAGTATGTGGGTAACATTTGGAGTGCTGGCATCTGTATGGTTGCCAGTTTGAGTCCTGGCTGCTCACTTTCAGTCTAGGTCTCTGCCAATGTGCTGAGGAAGGCAGCAGAGGCTGGCCCAGGTCCTTGGGCCTTGTCATCATGTGGGAGACCAGGAAGAAGCTGCTGGCTGTGCTCTGCCCCTTTGCTGGCTGTTGTAGCCATTTGGGAAGTGAACCATCAGATGGAAGGTCTCTCTGTAGTTCAGCCTTTAAAATAAATAAATAAAATTGTATTTCTAATTGTTAGCTTCTGTATTTTGATTTTATTCTACCTTTTGCAGATTTTTTAGTCCATTCCTTATAATGTACTACATACATTCTACTAGATTCATTCTAATGTGTATGTATTTTAGATTTTTCAAGTTTGTCTTAAACTACTCATCAGAGACTACAACCTCTTAATGAAGTCTTTATCTACATTTTAGATCATTTGTGTCTTTTGTTTAGATAATGGCTTGTTAATGCTAAATCAACCAAATACTAAAATTGTGTCAGACTTACTTCACTCACTATGTCCTCCAGTTGTGTTTATGTTATGGTCCATTGTGATGCGCATTTTGGTTACTGTGAACATGTTGCGGCAAACATCTGATACAACAGGTTGCTCATGTTTTTGAATGTGTACCCTCTTAGTGGGATTGCTCTATCATGTGGAAGGCCTAGTTCTGTTTAAGGAAGCTCCCATACTGGTTTCCATAATGGTTGCGTTAATTTACATTCCCACCAGCAGTGTGTAAGAGTTCCCCTTGCTCAGCTTCCTTTGCAGCATTGTCTTTAGGCGTTCTGATACAGAAGTGACACTTTGTTGTGGTTTCTTCTTCCTTTTTTTTGTTTTTTGTTTTGTTTTGGAAAGGCACAGTTAGAAGAGAATCTTCCATGTGCTGGTTCATTCCCCAGGTGGCCTCAGTGGGCCAGACTGGGTCATGCTGAAGTCAGGATCCCACAGCTGCTTCTGCATCTCCCCCAGGGACTTGGGGCCCAAGCACTTGGGCCATTTTCTGCTGCTTCCTTAGGCGCATTTGCAGCAGAGCTCAGGGGAGAATGGAGCAGGCAGGACTTGAAACGGTGCCAGCATCACAGGCAGAAGCTTAGGTCACTATACCACAATATTGACTTTACTCCTGGTTTTGATTTGCATTGCCCTGATGGCCAGTGATACTGTGATTAAGGTGTTTTCCCCATTTCTTGTGGGTTTGTAGGTTTTTTTTTTTTTATTGTGAGAAGTAGAAATCTTAACTTCATTCTTCTGCAAATATACTTCCAGTGTTGTCAGCACCATTAATAGAAGAGATCACGTTTTCTCCATTGTGTGGTCTGGGCACCTTGGCCAAAGATGGATTCGTTTCTGGGATTTGTTTTGCTCCATTGTTCTATGTACCAGTTTTTATGGCAGCAGTGTTCTCTTCTGATATACTAGAGCTTTTGTAGTATACTTTGAAACCGAGTGTTCGTTGTCTCCAACATTTTTTGCTGAGGTTTGGTTGGCTGTTCTGGGTATTTTTGTGATTCAATGTGAATTCTAAGATATTTTTTTTCTAAGGCCTCTGAAGAATGTCATTAATATTTTGATAGGGATTATATTGAATCTGTAAATTGCTTGAGGTAAATAGACATTTCCATGTTACTAATTTTTTCAAAACTGTGTATGTATTCATATCTTGATTTCTTTAAACAGGTTTTATAATTTTCA